TGTCTGTTGATCTTGTATCCTGCCACTCTGCCAAACTTCTCTATTGCTTCCAGTACTCCCCTTGTGGAGCTTTGGGGATTTTCGATATATAAAATCATATCTGCAAATAACGATAGTTTCACCTCTTCCTTCCCCCAGACAAATACCTTTGATGTCTTTTCTTTGCCTTATGCTGTTAGCTAAAACCTCCAGCACGATATTAAATGAGAGTGGGGACAAGGGGCATCCTTGTCTGGTCCCCTTTTTCAGTGGGATTGTGTTCATCTTTTCTCCATTGACTACCACATTGGCTGTTGGTTTTTCATATATAGCTTGTATTGTCTTGAGGAATTTTGCTGCCATTCCTATCTTTTCAAGTGTCTTAAACAGGAATTGGTGTTGGATGTTGTCAAATGCTTTTTCTGCATCTATCGATATTATCACGTGGTTCTTAGTTTTTCATGTCAATGTGACGAATAGTACTAATGGTCTTTAGTATGTTGAACCATCCCTGCATCCCCAAAGTCACCCTCCCTTGTGCTGTACACAGTTTACAGTATTAAACCAAGAGTGATCTTGGCAGAGTGGACCAGTTGTATGTTCATTCCTGCTGTAACATTGTAGTGTCTCTTATCCAAAACCTAAACAAGAAAAACTGTCTTTGGTCATTATCTTTGGTTTCCAATTAGGTCCTAAATCTTGTTGCATACCTTAGTAGTAAATATTGGTTGATTCTAGAAAGGTTCTTAGTTCGGAGTGGCTCCTATTTTGAAAGGGGGGTAGTATTGCAGAGCAGAAAGGCAAGCGTCACCAAGTAGACTGGGTTTGGTTGCCTAGCTTATTTGCCATAATTACTAAGGTCTCAGAGCCTCAGGCTCTCTAGCATCGTCACAGGGCTCTTCAGACGATCCGAGGGCATCCGAGGGCATCCGTGCACGTTAAGGTCTGGCAGTTGTACAGCAGTGTCTGTTCCCTCCCGTCTTTTCCCTTAGTCTGAAACCAAGCTCAGACTGCTATGAGCCATGTAGGACGGAGTAGAGCTGCCCGTAGGGCTCCCTAGACGACGCTCCGTCCAGAAGCATACTGCCACGTCTTCCTCCTGCCACTCTGGAACAGGGGATCGCAATCTCGTGCTTTTGCCCCATGGAGGCATTGGCCATGTATGGAAAGTTTTGGTTTTCACACCTGGAGGAGGATACTACTGCCATCTAGTGAGTAGATGACCAGGATGCTGCTAAGCATCCCACAATATCCCAAACAGCCCCAAAGCAGAAAATTATCGGCTTCCAAAGGTCCATAGTACTGAGACTGAGTAGCCAACTCTGGAATTGACTGCCATCTCTGAATTTCCATGTGATGCTCTGAGCACGTGTGCACTGGGGATTTCTTCTAATGCAGATAGCCTTTGATTTGAGATGGCTTACAAATTTATGAAAAGATCATCGTAATTCACTGTGCCCTCATGGCGGCAATTTTGGCGAAGAGAATGATAGTAGCGAATTTGCCCTGGCAGCTCCCCACGCTCTCCTCTCCGCACCCAGCTGGCCCAGATGTCTGTGGCTTGCACTACACCACGACTTGTTTGGGAAGTGACCCCACTTTCTGCGTGAGTGACTCTGCTCTTACGTGCTCTGGAGAGGCATCGACAAGCATTTGAAAGGAACAGAAGGGAATTCTTCAGTGTCTACTGGGTTGTGTCCATGACACCTTCGCCTACAAAACTGCTCTCAAGACTCTAAACTCAAGGAAAGGTCGATGAGGAAAATGAGCCTCAGAGAAACTCCCGTAGGTCACATGACTAGCAAGGCCAAATCTGAGATTTGAACTTAGGCCTCTGCGTGCAGAATTGGAGCTTTTCTCCTCCCCACCGCCCGCCCCACACTGGTGTGTAACATGCCGAGTATGCTCTTCCCTCTTGGTCTTCTACCTCGAGGCCGTTACATTGTGGTGTTTACTGTCGTCTCAGGCTGTCCTTTGGAATTTTCTGTTCTGCTCTTTGACGTCAACATTTCTTCTAGTTGCCTTCACTCCGCTACGATTAAGAGCATGTTTCAAAGTCCCTGCTGACATCCATGCTGAGCTTTTCTTTCTGTCCGGTCTTTTACATGCCTCTCTGCTTTCTTCATGTGTGATGTCCTGGGGGTCCTCCCACAGCCCCTCGGGTCTTGTCTTTAGGGCTCAATGTGTCAACTCTGGTCCCAAGAGGTCTCCAAACTCAGGTGGGAGACTCCAGGTCGTATGTTAGCGCTCACAGATTTGTCTTAATTTTCTTCAGCTGTAACCGGAACTTACATGTGAACAATTGATGGCCTGTTCCAGTCATCCCCTTGCCTGGTCTTAGCTGCTGATACTTAGCTTCCCCATCTTCTCTTTCCACAGATGTAGTTAATTTTATTTCTGTGTATTCTATTTGGAGATGTCTACAGCTTTTTGTGCTGTTAAAAAAAAGGTATTTAAGATAAAGTTGTTGCTCTTGCAAAATTCTATCATGCAACCTATGACTTTGTTTCTGTTACCAAGGTCACATTTTCCAAACATTTCCCGTTTCCATCTTCTGCATTCTAATTGCCAATAATTATCAGTACATCTTGGTTGCATGTTTGATCAATTTCTGATGGAAGACATTGGTAGAATTCTTCAGCTTCTTCATTGCTAGCTTTGGTGTTTGCTGCGTACAGACCTCATTCATGTGTTGAAAATCAAAGATGTTACTTGGAGCACTAAGGTGTGGCGGACCCAAGCCATGGGATTTTCAATCGCCTCATAAGCGTGTGAGAGTTGGACATTGAACATGGAGACCATTTGAATCTTGGCTAGACAGAACAGACATAGCTGTCTTGGAAGAAGTTCAGCCAGAATGTTCCTTAATTAGAGGTTAGAATGCCTGGACTTCACCTCATGGACTTTGGACACGTGGTCAGGAGAGACCAGTCCCTGGAGAAGGGCGTCGTGGTTGGTACGTAGCAGGGCAATGAAAGAGGAAGACCACCAAGATGGATCGACACAGCAGCAGCAGACGGGCTCACGTAGAGAGAACCGTGGTGAGGACGGTGCCGGATGGGCAGTGTTCATTCGCTGTCCGTAGGGCCGCTATGAGCTGGAAGCAATGTGACCGCACCTAACACCAACGACATACTGATATTTCTCCAACTAGTGAGCTAGGTGGGAAGCGTATCCTTCATAAGAAAGCGTGTCCTCATAGCAGAGTATGTCTCTAAGCCATAGAGGCTTCCTGTCCCCACCCTTGTAGTGCTGTTGCAAAACCATCATATCAGGGGGTGTGCCTTTGGCTCAGGTGTACCAGGGATCTCTTCATCAGTATCTGTGCTTGTCTCATTAAACCACAACAGTTGAAGCGATACCACTGAGTGTAGACACTGCCTTTTATCCCCTAGATGTTTTTCTATTCTAAAATAATTATCTCAAGCAGCACTATTTAATAGAATTGTCTGTAATGATGGAAATATCCCATATCTGTTATCCAAGACGGTAGTTAACTCAAAACCACAAGTGGTTGTTGGGCATTTGAATGGTGACGAGTGTAAGAAGGAGGTGCGTTCAATTAAAATTTGATTTGATTTTCATTAGTCTAAAGTAAAATAGCCACATATGGTCAGCCTTGGGGATTAGATGGCCCAGGTTTAGGATGATGGTTCTAGAATACCTAGAGAGCTTTTAAAAAACCTCAATGCCTAGGCTATGCCCTCATCTAATTCAATCAGGGTCTCGGAGACTGGAATCCAAGAATTAGCATTTATTGTGTTTTCTAGATGATCCAATGTTTAAACTACTTCTTAAAAGAGGGTCACCAAAACTTCTATCACAAAGATTAACTTGTAGGTTCTATAAAAAATTTGAGAAACACTGATCTATAATAGGAATCCAATTTGAATAACACTGATATATAATAGCATGCTGTCTATAGACTTTCCCCAATTTATTTATTTTAGTTTTCCACTTTTAATTTTATCACGCTCCGTTTTTCAGATTACTTACCCCTCTGGTGCTTATCTTGCGGCTACCATGAGTTCAAGTCTAATGCTATCTGTATTCCCCCAACAGGATGGCAAACGGTCACGAGTCGCGGCAACGAGAAGAGTGTCCGGATTTTGGATTGTTATTTGACTTTACAGACAGAAGTTCCTATCATGAACGAGGAGCAAAGGCAGGAACTAAACCCCCTCATCATAAAGATCAAGTGTGCTTCCTGCCTTCCATCACAGCCTGTGCCCATCGATGAATTAGAGGTAAGAACGAGCCAGAAGAGTTGAGTTCCTTTTCTCGGCCAGTTGCCCAACACACATCGCCTCTAGTCTTCCCGGTGGCCCTAGGTGAGAAGTGTGGTTGTCATCCCTGTGTTACTACTGACTCTCCCAGTGAAGTAGGAAGACTGAGGAGGAGGAGGAGGGGCTGCCAAGGGTGAGAACTGTTCACGACACCACCCGTGTTCCCCAAACAGAGAAGCTCCCCAAGCCTTCTTGTAGCCGCGAACGCACTCACGTAGTCATTCGCTCGTGGTGAACTAACCAGGTGGAACAGGTCTGTTCACCTTGTTCCCCCCCCCCCCCTTCCTTCTGCTGTTGAAGTCATGTCTTCTGTGTCCCATGTCTTCTTATTGGATACTTGGCCTACTTTCTCCTTTTCATAAAATAAATAAATAAAAATTTACTCATCTGCCCCCAGCCATTCAAACACATTTCTACTATAGTAGAAATAGCCTGCACTCTAGGACAAAGAGTAGGTATTTGCTGTTACAGCTCCCTGGCTTGTTCTGACACCTCCCACTTTGGGAGATACTGCCGTAGAGTGACGTGTACAAACCCTATCTTCTTTAAGAAAAAATTTGCCCTCCCTTATCAGATACAGTAGAAGCCCGGTACTCGACTGCATCAGTCCGTACACAACATACTCGGATTTTGAGGCAAAATGTCGAGAATTTTGCAGCGGAGGTCGAACTTTTGTTTGGAATCTGACCCGGCGCACGTGATTTTTGTAAACAAAGCAGCTCGTGTTTCAGGCACTCGGGGCTGGTTGGCTTTGTTAGTATGAGTTGCGTTACGGGAGCACTTGAGTAGAGGCCCAATGTTCATCGAACAGAACATTTCTAAATAATCGATTTTTAAAAAAAGAAAACATTTCAAAGGGCAACTACAAACAAAAGTAAAGTATTAGAATGCAATGTGAAAACACTTGGAGCTAGAGAGCCAAGAAACGTGAAGAAAACATTTGAAGTCTCAAGCTGCAATAGTGAAAGATTTTATGTGCACAATGAGAGGTCAACACTGAGACACTGAACAGAGATAGGATTGAGACAAAGAACGTGAGGGAGCGGCTTTATTAGGGCAGGGAAAGAGCTCCCGGGAGGGAAGGGAGAGCAGAGAAAGGGACAGGAGCATCTTGAGCTCCCGGGCGGTTCTGAGACCCAAGGAGTTAGGGAAATCCGCCTGGCAGTGAGGCAGTGGGACACATAGAGGCCTTGATCCAAGGACGTATGCGCTGATGAGGGGAAGGAGGGCTTCTGGTGCCGCAATTGCAGGGTTTGAGTCAGGACGTGGTCTGTGAGTAAATCGTCCTGGAACGCTGAGGGAAGGGGCTGTACAGACCCAGCCTGGAGACATAAGCTCCTTGGAATGCTGGAGGCAGGGACTGCACAGTCCAGCTCTGGCCTTGAGAGGCTGGGGAAGGGGCCACACAGTCCAGCAGAATTCCTTCTATAACAGGTTAGATCACAGTTCTGGGTAGCACGCACTCCAGTTTCAGCTGCTTCCATTGCCAACCAGTTGTCTCTTTGGAATGTTGCCGTGCCAGAGGACACGGGCAGGGAAGGAAACTTAGTGGACTATCCTCCATTCTGTCTGTCTCCACCACTTCTTGAAGCAGGAGGGCTTTTCCTAGAGCTCTCCCTGTTCAGGCCGGGACACCGCGCATGCGTGGTGCACAATTCCTTTGTGTCCCGTGAGACCGGGCAAAAACAAAGCTCAGGCATCTCACTGCTGGGTGGTTGTATTCGTTTGACTTTCTTCCCCGATCAGCCCCACCACCTTCTCCTTTCTGAGTCCTCAGCTAGCTCCACACTGTCCAGGGGGTTCGGTGCATTAACTAACTGGGATCGACAGGGTGGGGTGTGCTTGCTCACCTCATTTTACTGAAGCAGAAGCCCCCCCCTTTCACAGTTTCAAACGATTTGTGTTACTGATATGTAGTTTCTATGTGTTCTGTATACTGGCGCTCTGTCAGCTATGTATGTACTGTATTAGAAACAGTTCCTTCCACTGTGGAGCGTGGGAAAAACTTCTCACGGTGTCTTTGGTGACGTTTCATCATGACTAGTGTTTTGAGTATCTTGTCAAATTGCCTTCCCCAAGTTCATGAAAATATCAGCTGATGTTTCCTTCTAAAAAATACACGCTTTTAGCTTTTATGTTTAGAGCTATGATCCACTAGAATTAATTCATGTGTGGCATGAAGCCAGGGTGGTTTCCATTGGACTACCACAAAACTTTAGTTGAAATTCAAAGGATTCTGTTCTGGTCTCCTTCTGAACTCTCCATTATATCCCATTGATTTCTTTGTCTACATACGTCTTGACATCAAGCAATAACAATCCGATAGCTGTTCTTTTTTATCTCAAGATTGCCTTGCTCATTCTAGATGCTCTACATTCTGGGATCAGCAAATTAATTTCAACCAGAAATACCTGCTGAGGTTTTTAAAAATCATTTCATTGGGGGCTGGTCCAACTCCTCACAGTCCATCCATCCATCCATGGTAGGTGAAGCACATTTGTACATTTGTTGCCATCGTCATCCTCAAAACATTTTCTTTCTACTTGAGCCATTGGTATCAGCTCATTCTTTCCCCTCCCTGCTGAGATTTTTATTGGGATTGCATTTAACTTAAGAGATCAATTTGAGGAAAATTAACATCTTAATGATACTCTACTTTACTTACTGTGAAGATGGGACATATCTCTATCCAGATCATTCTTAGTTTTGAAGGGGCTAACTTAATTATGGCATAAACACCAGGGCTGAAACATGCAAGAGTCTCTCCTTTCACCCCTTCTTTTCAACTAGTTCTCCAGGCTTCTTCAACCCCAGGCCTCTCTGAACCTTCCCCACTCCCCGTGTTGTAGCTTTCAATTTGGAGGCCTCGTTGCATGGTCTACCCCAACCGTGTCGATGAACGTCTGGGAAATATGTAGTGCATTTCCCACAAATCACTTGACTCCACCTTTTCTGTGTCCACCCCCAACTGGGAACTGGAAACACAGATGTGCCCACACAGCAGTCAGACTTTGGGAGGAAGAGCACGATGATCACTATTTATTGAACCCTTGACTTGGTACTTTCATTATATGACATCACTTCAGTCTGCTGATGGGCTTGAAAACAGGCTTGCTCAGAGTATTGTGGAAGACGGGAGGCTCCCTTGGGCTGTATGTCGTAGGGTGGCACTAGGGGTCTCCCCTTACCAGAGGCAGAGTGACTGTCGTGGCAGCTGAGTGACTTTCGGTGACCTCCTCCTCCCACAGAGGCTGTGCAGCCCAGTGTACTGCAGATACCAATTCTACAAGACTCCGGTCCACGAGACCGAGGGGCAGCCCCATGGCACTCATGTTCATTTCCAGGATATCAATGTCATTCTCCTTGGAGCACTGAGTCCCAGTGACCTGCGAGAATACCTAGAAGGCCCTCCGATGGTGGTGGAAGTTCACGATCGTGACCTCAAGTCAGAGGAGTACTCCCGGAAGCCCACCCTGTTTGGGGAGGATCCGCTGGATGCATGCCTCAACCTTCAGGCCCTCATCTCTCCGAAGCAGACGGGGCACAATCCCTTCGAGTCCTACAACAAGAAGTGGAATCCGTATGGAGTTGCCCGAGTCAGCTTTGCTGACCTCCTCCTGGGCCACACCTACCTGAACCTGTTTGTCCCTATTCACAACTGCGAGGCCAAGCCCATGAGCCACGGCCAGGACAGCAGGAACAGGGCTTCAAGAGGCCATCTCCAGCCTGGCCCAATGCCCATGGGCAACTATCTGGATGCGAACTCCCTCCTCAAATTGCGAGTGGACCTTGCAGTCCCACTGAGACTTAGAGCTGAAGTCCTGGACCAAGACCTGATAGGCACCCAATTTGGCCTCATCATTTTTGTGTTCGACTCTAAGAACATCTCCCTCTTACACAGCCTGCTGCAGGACATTACCATGATCAACGCCAAAGCCCTGGACCTGGACTCCTACTCTCTGAGGAGCATCCAGCAGATCCTGTCAGCCTTTAAGGTGCGGGTGAAAATCGAGGACCAGAAGGACTTGGATGTGCTCACTGGTTTCCACCTGCTGGACGGGAAGTTTCACCTCTTCATTCTGGAAGGCGTGGCCGACCAAGCCTTGAGGCAGCTGTGGGAACGCCACCAAAGCCGGTAGGTGGAATTTTAATAAAAGTGAGGTAGAGGGGGGCACTCCATGCTGAATGGGCACGGGGTTGGGGGGCACCCTGGGGAGGCTGTCTCCATGGTAAGCAGCCAATGCTGTGTGCTATCTACAAAGTACCACCAGTGGCTGTAGAGGCAGCAACTTCAGCTGGGAACATGGGTGGCAGCTTCAGTGGGGACACGTGGTGCCCATTTGCAGGGGTAGGAGGTGCTCAGCAGCAGCCTGGGCTGCATGCCCTTGGCAAAGGGGAGACCCAGCGGTGGCAGAGCATCCACAGAGTGCCAGCAGCAGCCAGCCACAGTTGTCAGAATTAGGTTTGCGCCTGGATTTTCCTTCTCCCTGGATTTTTTTCCTGCTCTTGGCCGAGGTGGTCCTCAAAGGAAGACCCGATCAGGGATTACTAGAGTTCTGGCTGTAGCTGCGAGTCAGTTCCGACCCACAGTGCTCTATGCACAACAGCATGCAACACTGCCCTGCCCCACGCCATCCTCAAAAGTGTTCCCACGCCTGAGCCCGTTGTTGCAGCCCCTGGGTCAGTCCATCTCCTGGAGGGCCTTCCTCCCATGCTCCCCTCGACTTGGCTTCCGCTCGCCCTCCTCCAGGGACTGGTCTCCTGACAGCACGTCAAAATTATGTGAGAAGTCTCGACATCCTTGCCTCCAAGGAGCACTCTGATCATATTGCCTCCAGGACACTTTTGTTAGTCCTTTTGGCAGTCCGTGGTACTTTCTTGTTTTCTTCTCTCCCTGTTTTTTCCTTTCCTATGTCTGTCTATCTAAGAGAGGCAGAATAACCAATCTCCAAGGGAAAACAACGGGACCGAGAGTCCGGGGAGGGGGCACTGCAACGTATCCCCCTTTCCCTCCCATCACTGGTAACCATCAGAGAGAATGTTTCTTTTGGGGTGAAAATCTTTTCTTGACCACTTACATCGTGGTCTCGTAGATACTTGCCCTTTGTCATTAACTAATTGCAGCATAAGCCTCTAACTTGACTCGGGAAGAGGCGTTTCAGGTTCAGATTCACTGGCACGTTGCGTAGGATTCTCTTGTGTGTACGTGCCACAACTTACCCACCCTGCATCGACGGCCTTCAGGTTGTCTCCATCATTTTGCTATTGTGAATAATGGTGTGAACGTGGGTGTGGCTCTCTCTACTCATGTCATGGCTCTGATTTCTATAGGACATATACAAAGTCGAGGGAGGGTAATTCTCTACTTCTCTGAGGAACCACCATATTACTTCCCAGTGGCTGCCTCAATGTACAGTCCCACGAACACAGTGTCTGCACGCTGGGCTGTGTGCTGCATGGTCGGCAGTTTGAAACCACCTGCAGCTCCGAGGGAGAAAGACTGGGCTCTCTGCTCCTGCCAACAGTTACCGTCTCTGAAACGCACAGCGGTCGCTCTGAGTCAGCGCTGACTCGATGGAGGGGTTTGGAGGTTTTCTGAAACAGGGGGTGATGGCTGTAATTGATGCACATTCCTACCAGCATTCACTGTTTTCTGAGTTTTAGGTTTTTTTTAGTGTTGCTGTTCATATTGGCAGCTCCCTTCCCCGAAGTCTGAAAACTTAGTTTTTGATATTTTTGTTTTGACACTATTATAGATACACAGTAAGTTGTAAAAGTAGCACAGAGAGATCCCCTGTCCTACTATCCAGTTTCCCCAATGGTGATGGCTTCCATAACTGTTGTGCATTAAAGCCAAGAAATATATTGACACTGTACACTAGACTAAAGTTATTTGGTCTTTTCGAATCCCATCAGAAAAATCAAAAATGATCAAGCTCTTAGATGCTAATAGAAGATAACATATTTATGATTTCAGAATAGAAAAATTTCTTGAATAAGACAAATCCAAACCATAATGGAGAGAGATAATAATACACTTCACTACATTAACATCAATAACTTCTCTTCCTCAAAAGAAAAGCCACAAACTGTGAAGAAAAAAGCCCAAAAGCAAACCCTGAAATATGTAGAACTGACAATGACCTAGAATCCTGACAATATAAAAAATCAATTATGATAGAAACACCTTAGTAAACGGACAGGAGCCACAGGTCCCTGACCCCCAGGCAAGAGCAGGTTTAACAAGGTGCAGTCAGGGCAATGACTGGCAGGGTGCACGCTGATGGGTGGCCAGGTTGCAGTACGTGCCAGGCAGGGAATGAGGGAGGGGGAGCGGAGGGGCACGGAGAGAAAGCACCAGCCTGACGAAGCTGGTTTCCACCTGTTCATTGCCAACCATCCTTTGAAGGCCACCAATGTAAAATGATTGTCTCTCCCTACGAGGTGGCAGTTGCATTTTAAATATACAAAAAGTTCTCTCTGCCCACCAGACAGCTAAGTAACAACATAGCCAGAGTCTGCCAAGAACCTGCATGCCGGAGTTTGGGTTCTTAGCTACGATCTTTTCTCACAGAATGCCCGCACCTGAACATGGAAAGTACAAGGTGCTCTACAACTCCCAGCTCCTGTTCCGCCACCGCCTCTACACAGACCTGGAGACCATCCTGTACCACGTGCTCCTCTTTAAGCCGCTGGCCAGCCTCCTGAAGCACCCCCAGCTCTATATCCGGAATGCGGTGCCCCCGGATGCCTTCCAGGCCCTGGTCAGGTGCGACTGTGGTTCCGAGGTTGGCAGTGGGTGTCAGCGTGGTCAGGTCACCCTCGCGAGATCCACTGGGGGCTTCACAGTGACCCTTTGAGGTGAAGTTGGTGTGATTCTTTTTGCCCAAAGGGACTGGGCCAGGAATACAGTTGAGGGCGATCCCAGAACTGTGCCCGAAAGTCTCCCCAGATGGGTTTAGAACCACCCGGTCCACATCGTGAGTCTCCGTCTGCTGCTCTTGGGAGTGCCCTGCAGTCACCAACTGGCCAAGAGGCACTTTCTGAGGAAGGGACAGGGCAGTGAGGAAGGACTGGGCCCAGTCGGATAAGTCAGGCCACAGTTTCCCAGTGGAATATTTCTTTGTTTTTTTTCCCTCCAAACACCCTGTCTTGCACTCTCTCCATTCCTCAGAAAGCTCTTTTCCCAAAATCGGGATCTTTCAGCTGTTGCGCACCTGTTCTTGGGCTGCTGCTTCTGCTTTGAATGCCAGGCCTTCCTCTGGCCCCCTGCTGCCTCGGCCTCTGGGTGGCAGCACGCAGTCACCTCACCTGGGAAGCTGCTGCGGTCTTGGACCGGGCACTGTGGTGCTTCCCCCCCAGCAAGAAGCCCTCTGTTGAGCACTGCCCCCGCCTGGCTGCTGTCACTCTCCTTACCTGCTCACGAGGCTCAGCCATGTCAGACGGCCTCAGGTTAGGCGGGGTGACAGCAGACACAAAGCAAGTGCAGCAGAATGCCCTGGGACCCTGTGCTCGGCTCTGGGGGCGGCAGTCCTCTGAGGGGGCTCAGCTGGGCTGAGCGTGGAGTGGCAGTGAGCAGGGGCTCACCAGGCAGGCTGTTCACCTGCCGCTGGTGAGGAAGCTGGAGTAACAAGCCCTACTTTGACATTTTGAGCGCAGCAGCATTTTATGGTAGGGCCAGAGGAGAAAGGCTGAGGCGTGTACCTTTTACTCGACCTCAAGGGCTAGCCAGAGATGAGGAGCTCCCAGGACACCAAGGTGGGGGCTCTGCCGGAGAGTGGGGTGGCGGAGACGTGAGCGCTGGGCAGTAGAGAATCACGTGGGAGGTGCTATGACTCATCAGAGCAGGTTAGGTGGGCCTTGCCTGAGGGTGCCAAGACATAGTTGGGAGATAGTGGGCGAGAAAGCCAAAGAGGCTAGTCTTTGTGAAATGCTTAGTGCATACTAGGTCATTCTTTACATTACGATCGTATTCCCTTCTGAAAGAGGAGAAATGATTAAGTCACTCGGCTTATAAGAGGCCAAGTCCAAGCTATGCAGGTCAGACTTCAGAAACAGTTGACACAGCGAGCCAGCAAGTAACAGTCCCAAACATGCGTTCCTAGACAACATGCGTGATAATCACCTGGCCACTGCACACTAGGTCCTGAAAGAGGCAGAGAGGCGTTTAGTACTCAGAACTGAACATTAGTTCAGGCCGCGGGGGCAGAGGTGGGGAGGTGTCTAGATTGGGTGTCTAGATTGTTGTTCAGCCCTTGAGCTTTGTCAGCAATGAGGCCGTGGGAACACTGCCCTTCTCCTGGTGCCGGAGGCTCAGAGAGCCACACCCGGGCTCCCAGCCCACTTGCCGGGTCCCTGGGTGGAATTCAGCCGATGAGCAGCTTTGCAGACAGCTTCGGTAATGGAGAGTCTGTAGAGAGACCTTTAACTGTGAGTGACTGGGGAAGAGAGCCGTGCGTGAGCCCCCTTTGTGAAATCACCAGATTTGAGTCTGGGGTCTTCCTTTGCTAGCTCTTTGGCCTTGAGACCAGCTACTTGACCTCTTGGGCGCTGCTGTGTGTTTGTTTTAGGCTCCACTACATCTGCCACCACAGCACCAAGCTGAAGGATGTGGTCACAAGAGACCTGCTGCCATCCTCTGCCATGATCAAATGCTTGAGTCAAGAGTTTGGGATGCCCATTTCACAAGAAGACCTTTCAGATGAAACATTATTGGCTCTACCACGCCAGACTGCGCCCAGTCTCGAAGACCTACGAAGTCAGAAGTTGCGCCTCTCTTCTGAGATCCAAAGCCACCAGGAGAAGTACCTACAATGGCGGCACAGTATGCTGCAGAAGAACAGAGAGCACAAGAACAGCATGATCCAGGTGGGCATCTCCTCCCCTCATCAGGGTTCCCCGGTCTGTGCCAGCAGGGCTGTCCAGTCACCTGCGGAGCTATACATGGCCCCTGGCCCTTGTCCTCCTCTCTCACCGGACGGGGTGTGCCAGACGCACCAGATGGACCACAGGCTTTCACTTCCTGCTCGGGCTGATCGCATCTTTCCGCAGAAGACCAGCGGGTGAGAAGGTACGCTCCTTGTTATTTCTGTACCCTGACTGTGGCCCCAGAGTGTATCGTAGACAAAGAACTTGCTAGCACCTTGCTAACTGTTAAGAGCATGGGTGTCATGATATCCAAGAAGGGAAGGAAATGGGGAGCAAATAGTAAACAGAAGGAACCATAGTAGAGCTGGTTGTTGCACAACTCTCCTGGATGTGACTGAACTATGAAAGTGCGTCATCGAGGCAGTGTATCTCAACACAACTTTAAAAGACCTGGAAACAGTGCAGGGGGAGTTAAACTAATCTGCACGAGAAAACGAAAGAGGGCGGCGACAGAACAAGTGAACAGAGCACGTGGTAAGGTGACAGAAGCCTGGTTACCACGTGGGCTGAAAGGGTAAGGACCTCCCGCACTCCTATGCCATCTCCTATGGTGTGACTGATGTGTGCCCGTGGCGTGCCTGCCGGCCCAGCAGTACCACTCACGTCTCCTCGCAACAGGGGCGTTTCAGGTGTGTGCTTCGGGGTGAGGGGTCAGCATTGAAGACCCAACGGAGCACAGCTCCTCTGACACACGCCGCTTACCCTGAGCTGGAACTGGCTCTGCACCAACATGTGGTTTTACGTATTGACACTTCCTTTAGCACCTTTCGAAACAGCTGTATGTATTTCTTTTCACTTTTTATTGTGAATTAGGTGGGGATTTAACTGCCAGGTTAATTTTATATCCAATGGCTTAGCAAATCGGCCCGTGGTCTGCCCTGTCTCCCTGCCTCCTTTCCTTCACCACCTTCCTGGAGCGCCTTAGCGCCCTTCTTCCAAGTTAATTCCTGTCTCCTCCCAGCCTGCTGCTCCCCTTCCTGTGATAACCATCAAAAGCTGCTTCTTTTGGCATTATGAAAACCTTTTCTTCAATTTTTTAAGTAACTGGTCTCATACTGCATTTGTCCTTTTGTGTCTGAGTCTCTCACTCAACATCATGTCTTCCAAATCCATCTGTCCTGAGCTGTTTGTGTCATTCGTTAATGATGCAGAACATTCCCTTGTGTGTCTGCACCAAAGTTCATTTTGCCTACCCGTGGGC